TCCAGGAAGCTCAAAGAGTCCCCAAGAAGCTGGGCCCAAGGAAGCAACACCAAGGCACATCATAATTACATTACCCAAGATCAAAGATAAGGAGAGCATCTTAAAAGCAGCAAGAGAAAAGGAGAGGCTTACCTACAGAGGAGTTCCCATAAGACTGTCAGCTGATCTCTCAAAAGAAACCTCACAAGCAAGAAGGGGCTGGAAAGAAGTATTCAAAGCCATGAAAGCCAAGGACCTCCATCCAAGATGACTCTATCCAGCAAAGCTCTCATTTAGAATGGAAGGGCAGATGAAGTGCTTCCCAGACAAGTGAAGTTAAAGGAGTTCATCATCACCAAGTCCTTATTATATGAAATGTTAAAGGGACTTATCTCAGAAAAAGACAATGATAAAAAATATGAACAGTAAAATGACAACAAACAGATATCAAAAATGGAATCTAAAAAAACAAAAACAAAACAAACTAAGGAAACAACTAGAACAGGAACAGAATCACAGAAATGGAGATCGTATGGAGGGTTATCAGCGGGGTGGTGGAGGGGGAAGAATGGGAGAAAAGTTACAGGAAATAAGCATAAATGGTAGATACAAAATAGGCAGGGGGAGGTTAAGAATCGTATAGGAAATGGAGAAACCAAAGGATTTATATGTACAACCCATGGACATGAACTAAGGGGCGGGGGGTGGGGGGGAAAGCTGGTGCAAGGAAGGTTCAGAGTGGAGAGAAAGGGGAGAAAAAAATGGGACAACTGTAATAGGATAATCAATAAAATATACTTTTAAAAAATTATTTCAAAAGAACTTACATCTTTCTTCCCCAAACTCATTGTATAAAGGAGCCCTGTCAGGCCAGGACTGCAGACATGTCTGTCTTCTCCACCTGGTCCTACTGCTGATAGCTCAGACTGCAGGCCCCAGGCCCAAGGATCCAGACCTCTTTCTGACTTGTATATGGGTCAATAAAGCTTTTCTCTCAGAAAAACCACAGAAGTTATTGCTCAGCAATGATCTCACAGGAACAAAGAACAAAGGCCATATCCTCCTTTCTTTCTCTTTAAAGGTTTTATTTATTTTTAGAGAGAGGGTGGAAGAGAAGGAGAGAAACATGGATGTGCAAAAGATACATCAATCAGTTGCCTCACACGCACCCCCAACCGGGGACCTGGCCTGAAACAAAAGTCATGTGCCCTGACTGAGAATCGAACCAGTGACCTTTTGGTTCGCGGGCTGGCTCTCAATCCACTGAGCCACACCAGCCAGGGGTACCAATCTTTCCTTGGGAAACATTAATTCTCTACTACATTGCTTCATTCTTCAGTCAGACTCTCTCCCTACATGGTGGGAAAGATGATCTCCAACAGCCCCAAATCAACAGTCTCTCTATTTAGCAGCTGCAATAGACAATACTTCTTGCTTCTAATGTCTAAACTTGAACTCTGAAGAAGTTGTATAATTGAACCTGCTTGGGTCACGTGCCACCTCTTCAACCAATTACTGTCACCAAACAAGTAACAAGGTGAAATATCATGGTTGGCCAGGTCAAGTTTATGTGTCCATGCCTATAGCTATGGAATTAAGCCCATAAACAGGTTAGAAAGGGGAAAAAGGGATGGAAATGGTCAGTAAGTGCCAGCTTCCCTAATTTTTGTCCCCACTCCCAACTGAGGATTAACTGAAGAAGGCCAAATATGTGCCCCTAAGCAGTCACTTCTACTTAGCCCACCTCTCGTTTCCCAAGCCAATGACTTCCAAGGAGAGCACAGTGGAGCCCTCCCCCTTCTCCTCTTGAAGGCTTCCCCCTGCCCATCTCTGAGCCTCTGCCAAACACAAGTAACAGTGGCTGATTCCTGACTAAGGCAAGCTCTGAATTAAATGGCCTTTTCTTGTTCTCATTAGGGTGGTCTTCAATTATTTCCACATTCCATAAATACAAGTTCCTACTTGAGGAAAGGACTTGTGCAAAAGGGACCTTGGAAACCAGAGCAGCGGGCCACACCTTTACCTCGGGCTCTGCTTTATCACCTGCCCACCCATGTCTCTCCATGGAGCAGCCCTGGGGTGCTAGTGACAACCTCACCCCTTTCTTTCTTCTAAGGACCAGAGAGTCAGAATGGGAGTGTCTGAGAGTGACTTTGCTATAGGGGTGACTTTGAATCTGATGTAATTTTTATTTTTTTATTTTTTTAAATTTTTTAGAAGATTTTATTTACTTATTTTTAGAGAGAGGGGAAGGGAGGGAGAAAGAGAGGGAGAGAAACATTGATGTGTGAGAGAGAGAGAGACATTGATTGGTTGCCTCTTGCATGCCCCCAACTGGCGACTGGGCCCATAACCCGGGCATGTGCCTCGACTGGGAATCGAACCTTTCGGTTTGTAGGCTGGTGCTCGAACCACTGAGCAACACCAGCCAGGGCAGAGACTGCTGTAATTTACAAGAAAACTTTTTGTTCTTAATCTTTGACAGCAGCAAGTTCCTTTTGGTACAGCCAAGAAGAGATGCTGCACCTTGTGCAGGCATTTCTTCTACAGCAGTTCTCAAATTTCTGCACAGAGTAACCCCTAAGGATGAGAGAGAGGAAGCCAGTTATTCCTCTCCCCTGGGGGGAGTGGGAGGGAATAATAAATATAATAATAGCATAACAATAGCAACTCTGTATTAAGCATTTACTATGTACCAAGTTGTTGCTAAGGACTTTACATACATTTGCTCATTGAGTCCCCACAACAAACTTGATTTCATGGACTGGTTGCTACAGAAGTTGTGGTTTAGAGTTCTATTTTTATATAAGGTCTGGTCATTGTTCCTTTGTATATTCCATCTCTAAAGAGGGAATCAGCTCATGTAGTGAATATCTTAAATTGGAGAGAAGCAGGCAGGGGGAGTGGTATTTGTTGGACATAGTGAAAGTTTACCTTTTGACATTGGCTCATCCAACCAATAAAAAGTTTAAAGTAAATTAATGATGAAAATAAATTATATTTCAAAAGCCTACTTTATATAATAGAATAATGTATCCTTTGGTTCATGCTACTAACCTAGAATCTTAGTTAGTTGTCTCAGGATAGAACTGTAAACTCCTTCTACTGGAAGGACTGTTAGAAGGACGCTGTGGTAATGGGAATCTGCCTCAGCCTGGGAGCGTGGAGGATACAGGTGACGCATCCATTCATCTAAGGATAAGGCCTTACAGGAATGCTCTGGGACAGGAAAGAAAAGGGTCAACAAAAAAATAACTGGCCCTTGTGAATGAAGAATTTAGAGCTGGGATCCTGGGGTCCACAGAAGGGAGTAAGCTGGGGGTTTCTGACTCTTCACTGAGCCGCAGGCACAGAACCAAACCAATTAGAGACTTTATCCTTCTGTTCTTCACAAAAGGCTAAGGGGAGAGACAATAGAAGGAAGAGATGTGAATTTAAAGGAGTAACTAGGAAACCTGTGATACACCTCCGACAAAAGGAGGATTTTAGTGCTGCAGCTTTGCTTTTCAAATTTGTCAGCTGATGGTTATTGGCACCAAACTCAAACCCAAGAGGAGTATCCAATGTGGGGTGCGGTGAAGAAGGAAACTTTATTCTGTGCAAAGTAGCTCAGCTGTGATATAGCACTGATGTGAAACAGCTCATCTGCGGAACAGCGCAACTCTGAGGCAGCCCCACGGCCAGGCCCGTCGCTAGGCCTATTGGTTGAAACAGGACTCCAGGAAATCCGTTGTAAGCGCTGGCTCAGCCCTGGCTGGTTGTGGCTCAGTGGATTCAATACAGGCCAGCGAACCAAAGGGCCGCCGGCAGTCCAGGTCCCCGGCAGGGGGCGCTGGAGAGGCAACCACACATTGATGTTTCTCTCCCTCTTTCTCCCTCCTTTCCTCTCTCTAAAAAGAAATAAAATTTTTTAAAAAGGGGAGGCAGGGGAGGCTCAGATGGCAGGAACTTAAGCTAGGCTAGGCTTGGTTACGGGCTAGGCTAGGCCTCCCCTCGCCCTGGCTGGTCTGCCCTGCTCTGCTTCTCCCCAGTCTGCTTTGAGCTGCCGCGGTGTGCTCCCCCTAAGCTTTGGACTGCTCTAGCCTGCGCTGGTTTGTTCTGCTCTGGCAGACACCTCCCATGTTTTAGCTCAGTCAGGGAGGGACAGTCTTCAGCAGAAAAGGAAACGGCACTCTCAGAGCCAGAGGAGAGAGCTGGCTTATACAGACCCAAGCCCCTGGGGGAGGACGGGCGGCGGCGGGGTTTGCGGGGGGCGGGGGGGCGGATAAGGGGACTAAAAGGTAATAGGAGAAAAAAATACCAAAAAAAAGACCAAGTCTCTACCCCTATCCCTGAAGGGTCCATTCTCATGCAAATGAGGACTCCAAATCCTCACCGTTTGGCCCGAAAGATGCTCTCCCGGTTGATCAGAGCAGAGCCACTCTGGTTGGTGGGAGCTGCGCAGCTCCGATTGGATGGGGAAGGCCTCAGTCCCATGGGCTGAAACAGGGTTCCAGGGCCTCCTGCAGAAGGGCCGGCTCACCCGGCAGGAACACAGCACAAGCAGGCAGTTCAGAGCAGGCTTCTCCCTCAAGGGCACTGTACCTGAAAGGCCCTGTGTAGAAATGGCTGCTAGGCTCTGTTTTTTTAAATTTGAGCCCAGTTAACCACCAGGAGCCCTTCTTAGTAGGTGTCCTTTTCCTCAGGGTTCACATTTTCTATTTCAAAACCTTCAAGGAACCACAAAATTGGGAATTTCCCCTTGCCCTTGAACTGGTGCCAGACCATTGATTGACACGACAGGTTCTTTCAAGCATCTCCAGCCTTATAAGAAGCAGGAGAAAAAGGTGGAGGTGCCCGGCATCCCATCAGGAAGCTCTGCTAGGTGAAGGGACTGCGCCGTCCCTGATCTGGGAGCCAGACCGCTCGGGTCCAGCCCAAGGGGAGACCGGCAGAAACGCGAGACTTTGGGCCACCGCCGCATTCGGAATTTACGGTAATTCTGCGCGGTACGCCCCGCCCTCGTGCGCAGGCGCGGTGCGGTTGCCTGCAGGGCAGTTGCGAGCCCAGCGGTTTTCAGACCCGCCTCGCGAAGGGCCTGGACGGTACAGGTTCCGAGGCCGACGGGGCGACCCCACCCACCCTGAAGTCCCGGCGCCCTCGGTTAGTCTGTGGCCCTGCCGTAGGAGCAGCCCGAGACCGGGGAAGCACCCTCCCTGGAGCGGACGGTTCGAGGCGGGGGAACGCCGATGAGATAGCACTGATGGGATATGAAGGCTAAGGAATGCCCGGGAGCTACGGCTGGAGGGGAACGGGCAGGACCTCGGCGCCTAGGGTGGCCCCGGAAGTCCATGCCTGTGAAACCGGGACCCGACGTGGAGCCCGTGGCGCCATCCCCGCACCCCCCGGGCCGGTGGCCCAGCGCGGGTCAGGGGCTGCGGTGCCCCGGGGAAACAGAGGCCAGCAGATGCCACAGGCCTGGGCGGCCTGGGGAACACAGGAGGCCAGGAGACGCTCTAGGCTTTTCCTGCGGAGTTCAATCCTAGCCGCCTCTTTTCCCACCTACGCTCTTAGTTTCCAGAAGTTGCCCGATTCCACATATAAGTGAGACCATATAATATTTGTCTTTCTCTGACTGGCTCATTTTGCTTAACATAATAATCTCCAGGTTCACCCATGCTGTCACAAAGGGTAAGAGTTCCTCCTTTTGTACAGCAGAGTGGTATTACATTATGTAAGTGACCACAGCTTTTTTTTTTAATCCACTCATCTACTGATAGGCACTTGGATAGCTTACACATCTTGGCCATGGTAAATAACACTGCTGTGAGCATAGGGATGCCTATGTTCTTTCCGATTGGTGTTTGGGCATTCTTGGGGTATATCCCCAGAAGTGGAATCACTGGGTTAAAAGGCAGTTCCATGCAACAGACTGAGAAACTCCAGGGGGTAGGAGGGGACTGGATAAAAGAAGAGATTAGCATGACCCACGGACACGGGCAATAGGGCGGTGAAGGCCAGGGGAGGGGGGCGAAGGCTGCGCGGAGGTGGGCAAAGGGGAGGAAATGGGGGACTCCTGTAATAGTGTCAACAATAATTTTTTTTTTTTTTTAAGAAAGAAATTGCCTGAGCTGTAAACCCTGCCTTCTTCCCGGAGTAGAAACCGGACCTTGTCCCCAACGGAATCTCCCAAGGAAATTGTACCCCGTGCGGTTTTCCTGCGCCTTTTGAAAGGACGTTTTCCTCCTCCTGATCGCTAGGGTCCGTCGCCATGAATTCCGTTGTCGTGGTCCACGGTGGCGGAGCGAGCAGTATCTCCAAGGACCGCAAAGAGCGGGTGCGCTTGGGGATCATCCAAGCCGCCACCACCGGGTACAACATCCTAAAGGAGGGAGGGAGCGCAGTTGACGCTGTGGAAGGAGCAGTGATCGTCCTGGAAAATGATCCCGAGTTCAACGCAGGTAAATTTGCAGTGCAACTACTCAGGTTAAGCTTCTTCCCCAGAATAACTAAAACCTTTCTAAAGCATCAACGAATCCCATCAGCTTTGTGGTAGAAGTTAATATGCTTAAGAGGTTTAATTTTTCTCATTACCTGTGGACTGAGTTGCTTTAAGAATTTTTAAACCTTTCCACCCTTTTTTTTTTTTTCCTTTAACCTGTTTCCTAGAATTCACATCCCCAGAGGCTTTTTTATTACCTCCTTTTGTGGGGTTTTGGGGGTAGACTACATTCCCTATGCTGTGCCCATTTTAAGTTTTGAAAAATGTATGATACACCTGTGTAACCACATGACAAAGAAGATTTAAAACATTTCCATCACCCCCAAAAGTCACTTTGTGCTGCTTGGCAGTTAATCTCTCTCATCCCCGGCACCAGACACCCACAGACCTGCTTCTTTCACTCTAGTTTAATTTTTGTTCTCTAGCGTTTCATGTAAATGTGATTACGCAGAATGTATTCTTTTGTATTTGGCTTCTTTCACTCAACTCATCAGAGTAATAATAATCATAACTACTATGAGTGCCTATTACGTACCAAACAATGGTCTAAGAAATTTGCATGACTAACTCATTGAATCTGTACCATAGTTTTATGACATAGGTGTAATTATTATGCTTATTTCTCAGATGAGAAAACTAAGGCACAAAAAGGTTAAGTAACTTGCTGGAAGACACTCATTTCCTCTTTACTTTAAAATGGAAAACCTAGGATGTAGGGATTAAGGTACTTCTTGGAATTAAGACACCTACCAGACATCGGTTAAGGAAAAGAACTTCAGGAAATCTTAACCAATTAGCTATCACCTATTTACTGAGTGTTTATTCTGTCCCCTTGCCTTTGCTAAGCACTCCTTAACACTTACGCACAATTTCGTAAATCAGCCTGACACTGGAATGCTGCCTAACTGCATTTTGGTGGCTGTTTGTTGAGTCAAAGGTTATTAGATGCTCCCCCTTGCCAGCAGGAGGCGCCGCCTGCTGCTTCAGTGGGACACTTGTTAAATTCAATGCCTGTGAGGCCTGGCCCCCTTGGTGACAAACCTTCACTTATTCACAAAGGACCTTGATTTGGCCCAGGTGGTTCTGGTCTCCCACCTCCTCTAACAGGATCAGTCTTCTCTGTGGATTAGGGACGTGTGGATTAGGGAACTGGAGGAGCCAGGGCCTGCCTTCTGAGAACCTCCTTTCTGGCTCCCCAGGCGTTGCTGTTCAGCATGTGGAGAGAGGAGAGAGTAGGGCTGAAAAGGAGGAAATCAAAGGTGGGGGCAGGAGGAAGGTAGGACTTGTAACGGCCACTGTCCGCCTGGAGCTCTGCTTTGTTTGCTCTTCCCAGCTGAGGCCAATACAAGCAAACAGTATTTCTGGTCGCCTCCCCTATAACCCTTTAGAATAACTGTTTAGGAACTTCATACAAAAACTGACTCTGGCTAGTGGCTGCGTTAGGCAGCAGTAATTTGCCCAGTAACACAGTTTATCTGAATGCTTATAAAAACATTGTCTTTGTTTACACTGTGTTCACATTTCAATATGGATTTCACGTTAGGTTTAAAGCTTATGCCATAATACCTAGTTTCTTAAAATTAGTTTATTTATTAGAAACCAACACTGGAAAAAAATGAACTTTTAGTTAGAGTGATAGAAATATTCTGTAAAGCCTTCGGTTGGCAACCAGATAATGACCATTTGCTTTCACTGGAGTTGAGCAGTACTTAATACAGAATTTTAACTAGTTAATTTATTCTCCCTAGAATTCAATATTATTAGCTATCAGAGTCTTTGTGATAACAGGACTTTTATTTATCCACCCTCTCTGAAGTACCAGGTTTAGAATCCACTAACCTAATACCATAAATTTTAATGGGCTTCTTTTAGCATCATTTTTACATACAGTAAAATGTCCCCCTTTTTCAGTGTACAGTTCCACGAGTGTGATAAAGTCATTTTTAATAAATTTTTGTGTGTGGTGCAAGGTATGTATCAAGGTCCATTTCCTGCTTAATTGTCCCCAGCACCCTTTGCCAAAAAGGCAATATTTTCTCCGTTGTCTTGCCCTTTCACCCTTGTGAAAAATCATTTGACTTTATATGCATGACTCTATTTCTGGAGTCTGTTTTGTTCCATTGATCTATATATGTATTCTTTCACCAATACCACACTGTCTTGATTACTGTACTTTTATGTTATCTTGAAATTAGATAGTAAGAGTCTGCCAACTCTATTGTTTTTCATGATTGTTTTGGCTATTATCTAGTCTCTGCCTTTTCCACAAATTTGAGACTTACCTTGTCAATTTCTACCAGAAAAAATTCTACTAGGATTCTGATTAGGGGTGTATTGAATCTATAGATCAGTTTGAAGAGGATTAGAGTCAATACTGAGCTTTCTAATTCATGAACACAGTATATACTTACACATACTTGGATCTTTAATTTCTTTTCTCAGTGTTTTGTGGTTTTCAGCATTCATATGTTATATTTTGTTATATTTGTACCTAATTACTTCATGTATTTTGGTGGTATTGTAAATACTACTTTTTAAAATTTCAGTCACCTGTTGTTCATTGCTAGTATATGAAAATAGTTTATTTTTTATATGTTTATTTGTCATATATGCTTATTTGCATATATCTTCTTTTTTGTTAAGGCCTTTGACTCATTTTTTAATCAAGTTGTTTCATTATTGTTGAGTTTTAAGTTTTCTGTATATTTGGGTAACAGTCCTTTATGAGATACGTCTTCTACACACAAACTTTCTCCCAGTTTATCGTTGTCTTTTCATTCTCCTGACAGTGTCTTTCACGGGGCAGAACTCTTCATTGTAATGAAGTCCGTCTTAATTTGTTTTTTCAGGGTCAACCCTTTGGTGGTGACCCTGAAAAGCCAAACCCAGGGTTATATATATTTTCTCCTATGTTATGTTCTAGGAATTTTATAGTTTTGCATTTTACATTTATGTCTGTGATCCATTTTTAGTTCATTTTTCTGAAGAGTATCTAGATTTGTTTTGTTTTGTTTTGCATGTGGATGTCCAATTGTTCCAGCACCGTTCATTGAAAAGACTTGTTTTTGCTTCATTTGATTGCCCTTTCTCCTAAGATTCTGCAACTTGTTCCAGTGTGTATGGGTGTCCCCAGAGCACCACACCACTCTCAGACACCAGCTAGGTGTCCAACAATTTAACTCAGTTCTCCTAACTATCTTACAGCCCTAATTTAGTATTAATCCTATCCAGTATTTTTTGTTTCAGACTTTTTTTTTTTTATTTCAAGAAGTTCTGTTTGAATCCTTTTGAAATTTTTCTCCATGTTCTGGTACATACAGAATAATAGTTACAACAGCTGTTTTAACTTCCTTGTCTACTAATTCTTATCATCTGTGTCATTTCTGGATCTGTTACCGTTGATTGATTTTTTTTTTCCCCCTTCTTATTGTGGGTCATATTTTCCAGTGTCTTTGTGTGCCTGGTAATTTCTTACTGGATACCAAGCACTGAATTTACCTTGTTAGGAACTGGATATTATCATAATCCCTTGAATACTCTTGCCCTGACCAGGTAGCTCAGTTGGTTGAGCGTCATCCTGTACCCCAAAAGGTTGCGAGTTCACTCCTTGGTTAGGGCGCATACAGGAGGCAATCAATTGATATTTCTCTCTCATATCGATTTTTCTCTCTCTCTCTCTTTCTTTCTCTCTCTCTCTCTCCCTCCTCCCCACCTCCCTCCCCTGCCACCCCTTCCTCTGTCTCTAAAATCAATGAACAATCCTGGCCAGCGTGGCTCAGCTGGTTGGAGCATCCTCCCATGAACTGAAAGGTTGCAGGTTCCATTCCAGTTCAGGGCATATGCATGGGTTGTGGGTTCCGTCCCTGGTTGGGGCACATGCGAGAGGCAGCCAATCAATGTTCCTCTCCCCCATCAGTGTTTCTCTTTCTCTCTTTCTACCTCCTTTTCTTTCTCTCTAAAGTCAGTAAAAACATATCCTTGGGTGAGGATTAAAAAATAATAATATAAATAAGTAAATAAATAAATATTCTTGAGCTTTGTTCTTATTCCATTTTTACAGATGAGGAAACAGTAACAAAGAGGTTAAGAACATCTAGACGCATAGGCGTTAACCGAGGCAGGAAGGACTCTGGTAGTGAAGAGAACAGCATTGCCCAGGGCACAGAGTAATGAGAGCTTATGATACGTTCAGGGAAACCCAGTATTCCAGTAACATGTGGTCTAGGAGGGGAGGCGAAGCTGGAAAAGTAAGTCAGTTGGGTCAGGAAGCCTTCGTGCTATCAAGTTTGCAGGTCATGGGGTACCAAGTCAGATTTTTGTTTCCTCTGGCGATGCAACGGGGGATGAATTAAGGTAGGCAGTTTAGAGGCAACTCATTTCTAAATCCTTGCTTTTACCCTCTTTTGGGGTTTAGGTTGTGGCTCCGTCTTGAATGTGAATGGTGAGGTTGAAATGGATGCCAGCATCATGAGTGGGGAAGGCCTGTCTTCAGGCGCCGTGTCCGCAGTCCGATGTATCGCGAACCCCATCAAACTCGCACGGCTTGTTATGGAAAAGGTATGCGTGACCAACACATCCTTTCCTAAGGCATTGTCACTTCTGTACTCCGGTGACTGAAAGGGGTCTGACTATAGGGAAATACTTGAGGTCACTGTTCTAAAATTATATAAAAGAAGTAAGGTTAAGTTTCTCAAATAAGCCAGGATTCTGACCCTGTGGACCATGTAATTTGAGTAGTAGTCACTTGACCAGTGATTTCTTTGTTTTCATGTTCCTTCCTGTGTTCAGCCACCTCTCAACACATATAACAACACATACATACTGAACAGACCAACTGTTTAAGAGCATGTGTTAAATAAAAATGGGTTAAGTTCTCCAAATTTAAGGTCATATATGTCACATTCTTAGCAATATACCATCATTTGGGGGGGTTTTCTTTAAATACAAAACTCAGAGCCAGGCTCTTTTCAACATTCAAAAAAGTAAGCAACTGAAATTTGCATGTTTGAGGCTTTGTACTCTGAGAGGAGCAATTATTTCCACACAGTAGGAACAGTTAAAAGGGTCTTAACTTGCCCTGACTTAGACATCGTTCCACAAACCGAAAGGTCACTGGTTCAATTCTGGGTCAGGGCACATGTCTGGGTTGCGGTCCAGTCCCCCAGTTGGGGGTGAGAAAGAGGCAAATGATTGCTGTTTCCCTCTCATAGTGATGTTTCTCTCCCTCTCCCCCTCCCCTCCCCTCTCTCTAAAAATAAATAAAATATTTTTTAGAAATTTAACTTTTTCAACAACTAACCGTTGTTCTACTTTTTTCTGGTTCAAGACACCTCACTGCTTCCTGACTGGCCAGGGTGCAGCAGAATTCGCAGCCGCCATGGGGATGCCAACAGTTCCTGGGGAGCAGCTGGTAACAGAGAGAAACGTCAAACGCCTAGAAAAAGAGAAGCAGGAGAAAGATGCTCAGAAACCAGACCAGCAAAAGTAAGTACCACCTGCGGCTCACACTTGGGGAGTTATTCAAGTGTGAAAGTTTGACAAATGTTTGATTATTTATATTCCTTAAGTAAGTCATAGATCATGTGGTAGTTTGTTTTGGAACAAAATAATGCACACTGAGTAATGGGGAAACTGCTCTTTTGATTCTTAAATTTAACCTCATTTATTACTCCTGTGAATAGTAACTCAAACTAGGCCAACAGAGTTCCTTCTCCAATGTGATTTAATAGAACGCCTTGTGTTAATGTATTAACTCTGATTGCTTCTTGACCGATTTGTTACCTTAAGTAGACTAAACAGGTTCTCTGTCATCTTTCTTAGACTTCAGGAGAGAAATCAGTACCACTCTTAGAAGTTCAAATTAATCATACATTCTGAACTATGATTTTCTGTGTTACAGAGTTCAAAATCCCAAATAAAACTCCCCTTATTTAAAACAAAATTTGAAAAATATAATTTGAATATGGCCTGGGAGTTTTAATGGAATATAATCTATTACCTTTGCTTTTTTTTTTTTTTTTTTTTGTACTATTTAACCAAAGATGTACTTCAGTATCACCTAAGGAGCTTTTTCAAAATAAACATATTCGGGCCCTTTCCCTGAAAAATCTAATTAAATAGATCTGAGGTTGAGAGACCAGGCAGGCATATTAGGAAAAAGTTTCCCAGGTTAAGAATATGTTTTCCAAGATTGTCCGTCTGTTGGTAGCTATTGATAATCTTACCAAGTGTGCTATTGTATCTATAGGCCAGATTCACGGGAACGGGGTTACTTTATCAATGGTTCATGTACATTTTCATAGATGTTGCCACATTGTCTTCCAAAAATTTTGCAACAGCACACATCTCCACCAGCCCATATTGCTCTTAGATAAAAGCAAGAAGGGCATCCGCCCTGGGCCCTGCATTTTGGAGGACCCTTACATCTCAACTACGCAAAAGAGTTGGTTTATTACAGGTACTGGGGGACCTCTGTCACTCAGCTCCGGCACAGCATCACCTACCTCATCATCCACTCTTGTGACTCACAGCATTCAGCCCCCAGGGAAATGCCTCTGTACATCTCTTGCTCTATGTCCCTGAAGCAAAGGCCCCCTGAGTCTCAAGCTTTGTAGAGTGTGCCACTGCTGACATCAGGAAGGGATACGGCTTTGGAGCGCGGGGAAGAATCGAAGAGCAGGACTTAGGTAAGAGAGAAAGGCAAATCAATAACTTGTCAAATAAATTCTTGTATAACAAAGTATTGTTTCTCAGTAGTGCCAAAGGTCCCTTTTCTTCCCTTTCTCCATGTTTAAACTTGTGGTTCTGGGGTGTTCATAGGTTAGGACAATGTCTGTAAGACTTGCACGTAAGAGCTGATTCCTATCACTCTGACACTTGTATATGTATGCAGGTCTACACCAGTGCTGTCCAAGAGAAATATGAGCACCATGTTTTTAAAAAGTAAAAAGAAAGAGGTGAAATTAATATTGCATTTAAACCATTATGTCCAAAGTAGTATCTCAACATGTAATCAATCTAAGAAATTATTCAAGATAGTTTATATACTTCTTTCATTCTAAATCTTCAAAATCTGGCGTGAACTGCACGCATACAGCGGGTCTCCCTCTGGATGGGCCCTGTGTCCAGGGCTCCACACCCCACGCAGCGGGTGCCCACTGGTTGCACAGTGCGGGCCTGGCAGCCTGCGGGGAGAACCCGCCCTTTACGTCGGCAGCTAAACGGGCCCTGAATATCAGAGTTAGGAATGGTTTTATTCTTATAAAATATTTAAGAGATTCAGTTAAATGTCCAAAAGGATAATGTTAAAATCTTCAACTTTTAAATAATTTTGATGTTAAATGTTACTGTAGTTCATGGTTTGACTAACATTAATAAATAATTCTGTATATTTTAGGGGAAAGCTAACTTTTTAAAGTTATATGTGCAAATTTTATTTTTTTCAATTTTCTTGCTCTTTATTTTTTATGAAAATATATTCTCATTTTACCCATTCAATATAATTACATTTCACTTTTTAATCCCTAGATGATTGAAAATGAGAATAAGTCTCAAGAACTTAACAGAAAAAGACTACTACAGTGGAGCTCACAAAAGAAAACCTCAAAAGAAAAAAGAAGTAAAAAATCCTCAAGAGGCAGTCTGTTTGCATTTTTAGAAACAAAACAGTAAAAGTAAGCACTCTTCTTCCAGGATGACCCACATGAAATTTACAAACAGGATACTACAAATTCTTTGTTCAGTGAAGATTTAATTATTTATCAAAACAATGAAAATTGGTAATTAGAATTAGTATTATTCTCTCCAGATCCACAACGTGAACAGTTCAGATGAAATCCCTGCAACATCACACTTTTTACTGAAGGAAGACTTAATTGCTATCGCAAAGAATTACACACATGAAAGGACACGCGCAGGTACTAGACTTGGGGAGAAGGCTGAATAAACAACAGACAATTGATAATCCTGGAAAAATGGTACAAAACATCAGTGTAATGTCCTTGATAGAACAATACCATATGTCCGGTGCTCAGCCACACCTAATGATGCTTTTCGTGGCTCCATCAACACACTTTTTACAAAAAACAAAGGAAAATTTCGAGATTTAAGAACAGTTATTTCAAAATTTGATAAAATGCCAAACATGTAATTAGGACAAATAATAACAAAACCAATGATTACTATCTAAACTAAAGAATGCAGATTAATTTAATGGGTAATAAGTGAGAGATGTAAAATTTTTAAAATACTCAGACCAACTAGGATGTTCCACGGTGAGAAGACATGTTGAACAGCTAACATTATATGCTTCATTCCACTGCCCAGAGAAGAAAAACAAGTCTAAATGAACGTTTCAAATGAAGAGAAGAATTGGGAAAATTTTTTTATCTTAGACTGAAATTAATTTTAAAAACTATCAAAGGCAAGCCTATGATAATGGAGCTAACATGGTTGGTAAATAAAAGATCTATCCCTGGCTGGTGTGGCTCAGTGGACTGAGTGCCGGCCCGCAAACCAAAGGGTTGCCGGTTCGATTCCCAGTCAGAGAACAGGCCTGGGTTGTGGGCCGGGTCCCAAGTAGGGGGCGCGCAAGAGGCAACCAAACATTAATATTTCCCTCTCTTTCTCTTTCCCTTCCCCTCTGTCTAAATATAAATAAATAAAATCTTTTAAAAAGTAAATAAATAAAAGGTCTAGAAGCATAAAGTTTGTTCCAGAATCCAGAAGTATCTATGTGACATGGACAGCTCACAGTTTGAGTGTTTCTAGGAGACGTGCCCTCAGTGATCCCAACAGCGATGACAATGTGGGACATTAAAGGGTCGAGTACAAGATTTCCTAAATTTGCCCAAAGACACAACAGTTTGGTGAAACTCACATCTGACTTTATAACAAATCTCAGACACGTGGTAGGAGTACCAACTAAGTGCTGTTGAAGTAAGTAAATTTAATTTTGATAAGAAGCATTGATCAAAACCACAGGAGATTCTCAACAAATCAAGGACTCTAACAGAAAGTGAAGTTTTGAATTTATGCTACCCCCAGTTACTTAGCTTGAACTGTTCATTTCTATTGATAAGCTTAACAAAAGCTTTGAAAAACATCTGTTGGTTATTTCATTTTCAGACGGACTAAATATATTTTTTAAGTTAAAGAAACAAAACCACAACTGCATGTGAAATATGCAGGAAGAATGACATTCCAATAAAATATACAGAAATTGAAACAAAGTAACAAAAATATTGGCCTAACTTAGAGAAGATTCATGTAAAATTATCCTGAAACCACTTTCTATAGAGGCTATTTTTCGCTTCATAATATATCAGAGTATAGTATCATTTGAAGAGAGTTTTGAAGAAAATCGAACAACATACTCTTACTTTCAGTTTTCTTTAAAGTATACCAGCATTGAAATTTGAAAAAAACTTAAGATCATCTACATGGATCTAAAAACTGCTTGAAAGGTGATGAATGTGACAACAATAAGTCATTGTAACATATGATCAAAGTAAAATAGTAATCTCTTCTGTGATAACACTTTATCATACATAATCACATACCGCATTTGAGTGGATAGTGTCAAAATCAGGATTCATTTCCAAATCTAAATATCACTTCAAGAATTCCATTGAAAATTCTAGATGCTACTGCCTCCACAGAGTGATGCTTCTCCAAACTAAAATTAATTAAAAACTTGCTAAGAACTACATTGACTCAAGAAAACTTGTCTTATTTGGTACTTTCTGTATAGAGTGTGCATGCTGTATGGAAATGTTGATTATGAGAACATAATCAGTGCTCTGTGATGTGAGGCAAGGAAAATGAATTTTGTGGAATAAATATACAATTTACACATCGCGCATGCGTGTGTGTGTATGTCCTTTTTCACTCACCCAGCCAGCTGATCAACAAAGGGTCCAGGTGCAGACAGTAATAATTAAGTCATCATCGGTGGTTTATCGGCTTTCAGTCACATGAAAACCATAGCTTAACAATACAGGGTCTGGCGGGCGGAAGTAGCGCTGTTGAGTGTGGTTGGCAGGGTACGTGAATGTCTCACCTGAGACGGACAGCAATGGGAACATCTCACCTGAAATGTCATATGGTGTGTTTGAGTATGACATTGTTATGTCACAGAATTACATGCTTATGACTTTGTAATAAAGATTTTATGTAATAAAAAAGCGTTATTTGTGCCGGACCCTGTCTTTTTAAGACACACTTATCACAGTAAAAGATTAGGACGTATTTATAACTTCCCAATATTTAACACGGATGGGGGCCCCCATTTGTATTTGAATTCTTGCTTTGACCCCTGGCAAAGGTTGGGGGTGGGCCTGCCACCAACGACTGCTATGACCTCTTTCCCTCTCTGACGCGGGAAGGATGATGATGTCACTTTAAAGTTGCTATTCCCTGACTTCACAGTTGGAGCGTCTGCGTTTGTTGTGGGTCATTCCTTTCGATGAATTTGCTTGTTTTTGTCCTGTGGTTACTTTTTCTCTTTAGTTGTTTTGTCTCCTCATCAGTCTTAAGGCTGTCCTATCTATGTTAAGATTTTTCCCAAATCTGTAGCTTTTAATCTTGCTTTTACTTTGCTGATGCTGTTGGGCCATATATCAGTTGTAATTTTTTGTAATCAAATGTGTGCTCTTCCTTTTCTTGTACAGTTTGTAAGACTAAAAACTTAGAAGGATCCCCCATCCTGAGACCTAAAGCCACCTAGATTTTCTTGAAGGATTTAGTTTTCTGTTTTATATGAAGGTTGCTAGCTGTCTGGAGTTGATTTTTGTGAGTGGGCTCCTGTTTACTTCTAAATAAAATGCCAAGTTTCTCTTTTTAGCCACTCAAATGTCAGCCTATGCCTAGGACGATTCAGACTCTCCATGTGATTGCCTAACAGGGGCCTCAAGCTTGCGCCCAGAACTGAACTTTTGATCCCCCCCGCAACCCCCACTCCATGAACACCAACAACAAAACAAAACAAAACACCTATTCCTAATAGTCTCCTATGTTTCCACCAGTGCTTCCTGCAGCCTTTCAGTTCCAGAGCCCAAAAGCCTTCGAGTCGTTCATGACATCTCCCACAGGCAGTGCACCTGCAAATCCTACCCGCTTGCCCTTCACAGTGCCCTAAGCCCAGCCCACTTCTCTCCTCCTCCCCTGAGACCACCCTAACAAACCGCCGCCGTCTGTTCCCACTCTCATCTCCCTCAGTCAACACACAGCCACCACAATAATTGTTTGAAGATAAACTTTTTGTAGAAATACAGAATACGTACAGAAGCGCCTAAGTCATATGTGTACCCTGAGGAGTTGTCAGAGTGGACACCGCATGTAATCAGTGCTCAGCGCAAGAAACAGAGCATCGTAGCAGCCCCCGCCCCCCGTCCAGACCCCCTTCCGTTCACTGCCTCCCCTCCCAGTGGGTTAGTGTCGCGGAACCACTGGGGTGATTTTCAGGTTGCCGCGATTACAAATAGCACTGCTGTGAACACTTGGCACCCTCGGTAGACATGTCGGCACATATTTTTTTTATTGTTGTTCTGTTTCAGTTGTTCCAATTTTCCCCCCATTGCTCTTCCCTACCCCGTCCCCAACCCGGGTCCCGCGTGTACAAAGGACCCGTGGGCATGGACTACAGGGTGGGGATTGACTGCGGGAGCAGCGCACTTCTGCTGGACAGAAATGTAGGAGTGCGATCGCTGAGTGGGCTCTGGTAGACACCGCCAGATGGCCTCCCAAGGGGCGGCGGCCGTTTACCTTCCCAGCGTAGCGAGGGAGAGCTCCAGTCCCCACGCAGCCTTGCCCACGCTCAGTACCGGGTCTTTCCCTTCAGCCGCTTGTGGGTAGGCGTGGTGGTCAGGACGATTCCTTCTCAGACCTAACTTGTACTGGGACACGTCTGGGCTCAAACTCTCCAGAGCCTTCCCACGTCACTCAGTGAAGGCCTTACAATGGCCCGTAGGTAGGATGATGATATGATCTTGTGCTCAAACTGGAATTTCAGTTTTGTAAGAGAAAGGGCACTGTTAAGCCAGCACACCAGGACGAGTCAGGACTGTGCTGGGTAACCAGGCTGCGTGGCCACTACCTTCCCCCCACCCTGGCCCCTTCAGAGCCTTGTTGGTCTGGCTGCTACACTCTCTCCCTTGCTTTATTCTCCCCAACCCCAGTGGCCTCCTTGAAATTCCAAGACGTGAGCAATCGCGTTCCTGCCTCCGAAATGTCCTTCCTCCAGAGAGGCCCAGGCCCTCTATAAAACAGCCCTGCCCCGCCAACACGCTCCCCTGATGCCGCTGTAGTCACCTTAGTTTTTATTGCTTTTCAATAAAACCTGGAGTTTTTATTGCTCTGTTCCCCTCTGCCCCAAATGCATCTCCATGGGAGAAGGGACATTGTCCCTGAAGTTCACAGCTATGTCCCAGCACTTAGAACAGTGCCTCAAATATAGTTCCTTACAGAATCCGGGTAGTGAGCAGATGGCTAACATGCAATGTCTTCAACTTTTCTACTTGAAAATCTACAACAAAACGGTAGGGGAAAGCTACCTTATTTCATCTTTACAGCTAGCCCCGGAAACAGGCAAAGCGGGGTGTGGACAGGCAGCATCTGCGTCACCCGGGAGACCGTCCCACCCCAGGCCAACCAACTCAGGGTCTCTGGGGCAGGCCAGGAAGCCAGGGAATTTTATGCGCACTCGAGTCTGAGACTCACTCAGTTACTTTTATCCCCATTTCATAGGCTGGGGAAATGAGGCAATGCAACTTCACAAAGGCACACAGCCAGAGGGTGGCGGTGCTGGGGCCAGAGGCCCCCTTCCAGGGGAGGTCTGCAGGCACGTCTAGCAATCTCGCTGACTTGCTGAATAAAAAGCAGACAGGCCTGCTCTGCCATTTCTGGGAGTCAGGAATGTTGGCATCCCATTTGTGGGTCCCATTTGCTATTTGCATATAATGTGGCCATTTATGGGGTCCTGAGCTACGTTGTTGCTTATCTTCAGCCTGTCGCTTTTTGTCTGCTTTGTTTTTGGCAGAAACTTGGGAACTGTGGGTGCTGTCGCCCTGGACTCCAAAGGAAACGTGGCCTATGCAACCTCAACGGGGGGCATCGTGAATAAAATGGTCGGCCGCGTGGGCGACACGCCGTGCATAGGTAGCCCTGGAGGGGTGGGGCGGGGCGGGAGCGCCTGCCCCTCCCTTCCCTCCTGTCAAGTTCACACGCTCTGCTTTTACTGCCTCCTCTTCTCTCATTTCTTTCCTCTTCCTGGTGGCAGCTTCAGAATTTCTGGGAGCGGCAGTTGGATGGGGAGGGGTTAGTTGCGGCGCCACTTTATGTCTCGTAGGCACTCTCTCTGTCCTCGGTTACAAGACTTTTGGGGTGACCTGGGGAGGGAGCCAGAGATGGGGAGGCTGAAGTTGCCCCCAAGCTACCTGTGCAGTGCCTCTTTCTTCTCTCCAGCTCTTTTCAGGGTCTACAGGCTTAGTCCCAAAGGGTTAAACACACAAAACCGCTTCCAGGCATGGGTGCAAATGAACAAACCAAGAAAGCTGAGAGTTTAAGTTTGCAGTTATTACATTTGCATGGCATGAAAGTGACTCACTGCTACTACAGAAATATTACAGACAAAAAGGTTCTTTGCATTAGGGGTGAAGCAGATTCTGGCTAATTCCCAGGAGTGGGTGAGTGGTGGGGGCGGGGCGGTTGTGCATGTTCCAGCCTGGGGAAGACTGGGGAGATGGGGCGCAAAAGGGGAGCTGGTGTAGCTGCTCTGTGGAAGGTCAAGCCTACCGCCCCCTCTACCCACGCCCCCTCCCCCACCCAGGGCAGTCACAGGACCTCTGTCTATACTTTGGCACTGCTTGGGATTTAGCATTTATGTAGCATTAGACTTGCAATATGTGTTCAAATTTCTTTGCTCTTACTCAGAACCAATCTTTTCCCCTGAGCAGGATCCGGAGGTTATGCTGACAATGACATTGGAGCCATTTCCACAACGGGGCACGGGGAAAGCATCCTGAAGGTGAATCTGGCCAGACTCACTCTCTTCCACATAGAGCAAGGTATGTTGAACAAGGTCTTCCATACCCATACTTGGGTATGTTGAGACGGGTAAAGAGATGCTGTTTATAAATAGATAGAGAAGCATCTGAAACACTTTCTTCTTTGCTGCAGATGTTGCTTTCAGGTCAACACTGTTTCACCTGCTGTTAGGATCTGGGCCAGGAGAGTGTGTAAGAAGGACACTTTCTGTCACGCATCAGGGGCGGGGAAAGAGGCCTTGGTTTGGGCACCAGAGAAAAAGCAGCTCTGCCCAGGCTGGTGCCAGGGCCCCATCTCGGGACCAGGAGGGCCTTGGACGGTGCGGGTCCGTCTCGGGAGCACTCCAACAGAAATCACGGACCAAGGATCCCCGTTACCTCGCTTTGGTTTTCCATCTTGCAAACTATTTGTCCATCAGATTCTTTCAAAAGTAACATGTCATTTCTTGCCTTTTCCTTGTTTCCAGGAAAGACATTAGAAGAGGCTGCTGATATGTCGTTGGGTTATATGAAGTCAAAGCTCAAAGGTTTGGGTGGTGTCATCTTGGTCAACAAAGCGGGGGACTGGGCAGTGAAGTGGACCTCTGCATCCATGCCTTGGGCGGCCGCCAAGGACGGCAAGCTGCATTCCGGCATTGAACTTGACGACACCAATGTCATCGACTTGCCCTAAGCCCCCGGAAGATTGTATTCTAGGTACTAGTCTGCAGGTCACGTACAGTTTCCTGGTATGGAGACTCAGCTTAATCAATTAGAGCTAGAAATGGAAAAATTCTACAGTCTGTCACTTGTTTTGTTGCTTTGATCAATAAGTATCTGAATGTTTGGTGAGGGGTGGATTCCAAAGTGACGAGAGAAATGCCCGTAGTGGATCATGGTAAGACTGAGCCTTTCTTGTGAATAACCCCATTATCTTAGGTTAGAAAGAAGGAACAGCAGGACCTTGACCCAGCTGGGTGCAGGCAGTGCCCTTGGAATTGGGAGACCCGCCCCCGCAGTGGCAGAACGGCTCAGGGCTATCTTGGTTGCACTTCCCACCAGGGCCCTGTGGGGAGGGGCAAGGTGGGAAGGAGAGAGCCAGGGAGGGCCCTGAAGGCAAGGAGGGAGGGCCACAGCGCCAAGGGGCGAAGTCCAGGAGCCGCAAGAGGTGGCAGCGACCACTGGGCTCAGAAGCGCATTGGGTAGAGGCACTGAGAGGGTGAACTGATTTTTCTGAGAAAGTTCAGTTCTGCTCTGACTTATTAGAGATGTTTCCAGATAAGGGCCCTCTGGTAACCCCTAGCTGTCTCATCTGGGGGCAAAGGGTCATAGTGGAGACAGCAGATGGCGCTTCTTCAAGCCTGAGCCTTCTCTCGGGCTGCTCGTGAGCTGCTGACGCTGTGTGTTTCCACCAGTCCCGCTCTGCTGCCCAGAGCTGGTCTCTGCTGCTGCCGACCCTCTGAGTCCTCACAGTGAGCCATGGGGCTCGCGGCCTCGCCACCTCTCCTACGATGGGGGGGGGCGGGGGGTGCGGCGCGGCGCTGACCGATGCAGAGGTGGCGCTGTGTGACTATGGCTGACCACACCTTGGGCCCCCCACCCCTGCACTGGGCATGAGTACAATGTGGTCACCATGGTGAAGAAAGTAATGTCCTTGGCGGGGAGGATTCCTGTCAACCTCCCTTCACACTGGAATGGTGTTTCTGCTGTGACGTAGCTACTCCTCCTTTTAGTCTGTCAGCACTTACCGTCCCTCTGGAAAGAAATTGCTTGACTTTAAATTCCATGTGCCTCTAATAAAACGTATTTTGAAAGAATAACGGTGTGGTTAGGAGTCACCGTTGACAAAGACCCGCGTGTGCATGAGCGCCCCTCAATCCGGCAGTGCAGACAGGTGCACCAGCGAGAGATGTGAAGGTGAGGGGAGTCATGCTTCTAGCTCCTGACCCCTGACCCTCCCTGCACCCATGTCAGCTGCTCTGAACTGAAGAGAAAGACATGGCACTTGGAGGCAGAACCAAGCTTGAATTCTGCTGGAGACCCTGGGCACGTTAACTCTGTCTACAATATAGATCACTGGGAAGATTAAATGAAATGAAGAAATCGCTCAGGGCTTCGCCTAAGGATTCTGTGGACAAACATAGGCGCTGGCCAGGCCTGGGAGGGAGTCTGCAGGTTTGTGTCCTTGACCACCTCCACCTGCAGCAGCAGCCCGTCAGAAGTGAGGATTTTGTTAGCAGGTGTATTAGTTTGCTAGGGCCGCCAACAACAAAATCTCACAGACAGGGGCTTAGACGGTTATTTTGTCACAGTTCTGGAGGCTGGAAGCCCAAGACCAAGGTGTCGCCAGGTTTGGTTTTCACTGAGGCCTCTCTGCTTGCCTTGCAGGTGGCTGCCTTGGCACCGTGTGCTCCCATGGTCTTTCCTTTATATGTACTATGGCCAAGTGTCCCTTCTTTTAAGGACCTCAGTCAGACTCAGGTCAGGCCCACCCTAGCAGCCTCCCTTGCACTTCATGACCCTTCAAAGACCCTATCTCCAAATGCAGTCAGGGTTGGGGCTTCAACATATGGGTATTGGGGGGACACTATTCAGCCCATCATAGGAGGCAAAGCAGAAGTCCTTTAGAGCAGGGGCCCCCCAACCTCCTGTGTCCCCCACCCCCGCGCCCTGACCTCTTTGGCCAAGCAGCCCCATTAAATCCGCATGCGGGGCAGCCACTTTGTGCAAGCCAAGGTGCGCGCTGTTGCCCTGGACCTTGGGTCTGTGAAAAGTGGCCTCCACTAGCCTGGGAACTGCAAAAGCGGAGACCATGTATGAGTCTCTCTTGTGCCCCACACTTTGTCCCGTGGCCTTGCTCCGTAACTGTGGAACAAATAAATGAGCAAGATATTATCCAAAAGAGAATGACAATCTTTTCATCGCTTCTTAGCCACAAGAGGGCAGCAAACTACAAAATGTCCCGCGGTTTCAGCAGCCCAGCAGGAAGATCATGTGCCCAATTTCTAGATCAGAACAATCTACACAGAAAACTTAAAACCGAAAGAGGGTTCCTGATCTCGACCTTCAGTTCCTCCAAATTCCACAGTTTATTTTAGAGTAGAACCGTCCGAAACACACACACACCAACCAGCAGTTGCCCCGCAGAGCCCGGCAAATGCTCCGCGTCGCTGACAGAAACCGATGGGAGCCGGCTCCACAGGGCTTGCGGCCAGAGCCGGGCCGCCAAGCGGGGCACGCCCGGGCAGCCCCAGCCGCGGCCCTGGTTTCTCCTTCCAGCTAGGAGGACGGATGCTCGGCAACTCGGCCTGAACTTGCCGCCAGGCTGGGATAAGGCAGAGCGGGAGCGGCAGTGCGGCGTGGCGCCTGCCCAGCAGGTGGCGCTACAGCGGCCCGCGCTGTCCAGCGGGGAGGGAAGGCCTGGACCCTGCGGCTGTTGCAAGATAAATGCTTTTTTCAGATGATGCTCTTTTTCCACGTGCTCCTTTCTAGTACGCAATGTAAACTCTGAGGGCGGAAGTGGAGTGGAACGCGCGTCAGGCCTCATCAGTGTACCTCTTGTCAGCGATGGGTGGCCCGTGGGAAACTGACAAGGGAACACAGTCCTCCCAGCCCACACCTTCTCTGTGGTCCTGCTGTCAGCCCCAAACCATCCCTGCCTTAGACGTCGCAGGAGCTTAGAGGGAGCGAGGAAGTGCCCCCGCAGAGCAGGTCCGGCTGAGAAAAATGCAGGTGTCTCCTCCCTCCTCTGCGGCGGGGCGGGCATGCCCAGGGAGGAGTGGGTGCTGAAAACCGGGAGCAGGCGCGGGCTGGGGAGGCAGAGTGGGTCTGCAGCGCAGGCAGGCCGGGTTAGGGCCGGGAGCTGGGTGGGCCGTTCGATCGTTGTTCCATTCGATCATTGTTCCATCATTGTTCCCAAGAACAATGCTCCCAAGAACAACTGTGTACCTGCTCCCAAGAGAAGCGGAGCCAGCCAGCCGTACTCCTATGGAGCTAGTCTTTTTTAAATTTATTTAGAGAGGGAGAGAAACATCAATGTATGAGATGAAAGGAAGGAACATTAATTGGTTGCCTCTCCCTCTCTCTCGCCCCCTACTGGGGACCTGGCCCGCACCCCAGGCCTGTGCCCTGACTGGGAATCGAACCAGTGACCCTTTGATTCGCAGGCTTGTGCTCAAGTCCCTGAGCCACGCCAGCCAGGGTTGGAGCTCGTCCATTTAGAGGAAGCAAAAATGTGCAAGGGGAGACCCAGGGATGACTTAGCCCTTCAGAAAAATGAAAAAGGGGCCCAGAGAAACTGGAGTTTCCTCCAGGCCATGCATCGCACTCGGATTAAACCGAGGTTCTTCTCAGCCTCCCTGTTCCCCAATGGTGGCCCTGAAGGGACAGTCCTGTCACATCCTATATGGTGACCCGACCCCACCAAAACCAAGGGGCAGCCCGGGAGTGCCCCAGGTGAGAAGCAGGAAAGAACAGCACGTTTGGGGCAACTTTATCCTTCAAATCCTGCTCCTTTTTTTCCAACCCACTGTTAAAAGGAGCTTGGAGTTTCACACAGTGAGGGGTCTGGGCCAAGCATGGTCTGGGTCCATAGTGGAAACCAGGCAGGGATTCTTTTCTATTTTTTTTCTTTTTTAATCACTGGTCATCTGGGAGTTAACCACTTTGGGCTACGCAGCTTCCTGCAGCTACCGGCACTTTGTGGATCTTGTGTGGTTTGGTTCTAAGCTATGTTGGAGGGGCAGGGGGTGCAAAGGAGAAAACAGCTTCTCTCGTCCTGCAGGTCCGAGCCTCCCCCATGGAACTCCCTGGCCCAGACAGGCCCTGGATTGCTGTCTTGCAGGGTAACAAACATTTTAAAGTTAAAAATTACCTTTTCATACAATCAAAGGGATATATCTGCATGGTAGAAGTTAGAAAAACTAGATTAACAATATCAAAAATGTTTAAGTATGAGTAAACAGCTCCATAAAGATAAGAACTGAGGGGGGAGATTTCCTAGCACCCAGAGACTCTCACTATTAATGCCTATTCATAAATATTTTTTCCAAAATGAGATCATGCTTTTCTTTCTTTCTTTCTTTCTTTCTTTCTTTCTTTCTTTCTTTCTTTCTTTCTTTCTTTCTTCTTTTTTTCCAGTTAACCACTTTGCAACATCAAACATTCGCCTTCTGTGATACTCAGGCAATATTCAAATTTCTGCCATTTTCCCAAAAGCGTCCCTGGTGGCAGTCTTGCCCAGCCCTACCCCTTGCCTGGGTTGGTGACAGGGCTCCTTCGAAGCTTTGACTTGGCAGGGGCCACAGTCCAGCACTGTCACACCTCTAAGGGTGCTGGGCTGCCCCTTCGCGGGACGAGGTGAGTGTTTGGCCAGAACATCCCACCAGGGCTGGGTGCCAGGCAGCACATGTCAAACAGGAATGCCACCGTCCCTCCTGCAGCAGAAGCCCTCAGTGCTGGGCTGCGGCAACAGGACTGGGCTTTAGGCTTGGAAAGGGAAGTGTGGGCTGTACCGAAAGCCCAGGGTCGCACCCAGAAGTCCGTCAAAGAGGGACTTGGAGTCAGAAGAGCAGGTGGGAGCGAGCTCACCCTGGGCAGCCACCAGGAAAGGGCAGCCCCCTACCAGGCCTGCTCAGATCCTCCCCAGCCACCCCTTCCCCGGCAACTTCCTCTTCCCAGCTGTGCCTGCCAGCCGTTCCCCTGGCCTGACCTGCCACACGATAAGCCAGAGCTACCCAAGTGCCTCCTGGGCAAAGGGCAGTTTTCAGGAGCATTGCCAGCCACAGGTGGACACCA